ACGATTTTGCTTGCAAAAATCATTTTTCGATTGTCTTTGATTTGGGAATAAACTGTATTTACGAGTGAAAGAATCTGTACGTCATCAAAATCCACTTCTTATTCGTGCACTACGAGAGACGGAAACATGCAAGAACATGTTTTTCGAAAATTTCGTGAGAAGTACAGTATAGTTGTGCTATGGTTGGTTGAGTGAAAAAACGACGCACTTTCAATTTCTGCAAACAGCAAACAGTACAGAAATACCGTAGGCGGTAGCTGCGAAGATGCTGTGTCCTGGATCCGAGAAGAACAAAAAATCAGTTACGTTGCAGTTGCCTTCCGTACGAGCTTGAGAATCGCTTCCTTTCCTAAACACCAAAAATTATTGATATTTGGCCTTCAAGCCCCTGAATACAAAATTCGACTGAGATTCAGTGCTGCTTTTTCTATAAAAAAATTTTAACTCACAGCATTTGAGGAGTTCTTAACGTTCGTTTACAATTATATAGGGCGTAGATTTGATCTAGGCTATCTTTGCGGGTAAAACGAATAGAAGCGTCTAGCCACCACACCACCCGATATTCTTTCAGCACTTCCTGCAACACAAAAATCTTTCAAAGTTTAGAAGTCTGGAATAATTACTTATATGCGAGATAATCAGAGCCGAATGGACGAAATGAGAAATAGCGAGACTGAAGGAGTAAGAAGCTAAGAAAAAGATGAGTTAAGTCTTTTCAGTCCATTAAGCCTTAAATACTTTAGTCTTAAAAAATGCGGCTTTACCTTTCACAGTATTTTCTGATCCATTATGACCGCTTTTCGAAAGTGTATCCTACAACTCCGAGATGAAGACTTACCGAACTGTGAAAAATTTTTGCAGGAATTTCTCAAAATGTCTAAAACTCATAAAGTTCTTCACTCTCGCATAATTCAGATTAATAAATTTTTTTGGAAATTTAGTTTCTTACAGCAATCAGTATCGGCTTCCAGCGGTACTGCTTCAGCTGCTGGATATATTCTGGGTATGCCGAAAAATTGAATTTGCGATATAAGACATTACACATATTTTGCATGTACGCTAGTCTTTTCCCAGTGAGTCCAATATCGTAAAAAATCACTCTTTGCTGAGGCCAAAACTGTCGTATGCTAGCTATCTGAAATAATTTTGAGATTTAAGTTGCGATTCACTGGGCTAGCGTTTAATGCAATCACGTAAGCTAATCCGCTGGGATTTGCCAAAATCCGTAAACAAATTCGCTGAGATACGATTCTCTTTTGACAAACACTGATCACTAAATAGGTGCAGTCTAATAAAAAATAAAGTTAGGAATTAGAAACTAGCTCCAGTAAATGCGAAGCTTCGAACATAGAGCAACTTTTTTAATTTTTCAGTGAGATAGTTGCATGAAGGCATATTCTTTTTCTAGATGCGATCCCTCAGTTTCGGGTTCCGCATTTAATTCCGCGATTATATCAAACTACAGTTTACTGTTAGCTTCAAAAGCTGGAAATGAACGCACCATTTCAATTGCTTCATTGAAATGGTTATCCGAAAATGCGGTAACCATTACAACTTCTGGCAGTCCATCCACACTTGTATTCACGAAATACCGTAACCCACTTGTTCTGGCCCCTAAAATACTTCCCCATAAATCATTCCCAGAATAGCGTTACTCCGGTCTGGCCATGAAGCGCTAGTGCGCAACAGATAAACTGGCGATTTTCTGTGCGAAAATTTGTTGTGAACATCTGGTGAACATGCTGTCTTGAACATACATGTAATAATAATGACTCATGTGCCGTGACATGATATCACATCGCGCTGCGACAAAAACCGAATTATGATTTCGCACCTTCTGCCTCGTAAAATGAGGAAAAATATCTAGTATTATGACTGCTGATACTAAACGAGGAACTTGTTTTAATTATCTTCAGATATTCAGATGTATACGACGGATTCTGTTTTACAGAGATGCATATTTGCCCAACATAATTGAGGTTAGAAGGCTTAATGGATTTCGCAGTTAAGTTAATCGAATGGGTGTGTGTATTCAGCCATAATAAAATACCTATGCAGTGTTAAAAAAAAAACACTGGAATAATTCCTTGAACGGCTATATGGAATTATGCCGATGAGAGGAAGGCAAAAAGTTGTAAAATGAAGAAGTTGACAGCTGTGCCAATATCGAGAAGTAACGCCGTGGTGAAACAGCAACAGATCAATGCTTACAATTGATGCGTCTAGAAGACTATTTTTCAGAAAATCAAAAAGTAGTTGTTATAC